AGAAGGGGGAAGGAGGTGGAAGGAAGGAGCGATGAGAAACGGAGTGGGGGCTGGTCAGGGCGAAGCAATAGAGATAAATGTCTGCCTGCCATTGTAGCGGAGAAACGCGGTGGGGGAGAAGAACAATAGACCCCTCCCCGGTCGTCTCCACATCCCTTCCTCCCTTTGCTCACCTCCTGTGATGAAGAGGTCACAAAAAAAAAAAAAAAAACACGCAAATGGGTGAGAGACGAGCATCATCATGCTAAGAAAGCCTCTGACTGTCTCTGCGCGGTTGTCCGCTCGATCGGGAACGCTGAACGTTCCCCACACGATCGTTGAAGTTTCCGCACAGGATCGGAGCGCGCACACCGTATCCGTTCGCAATGTGCCCTCGATTTCGCTTTCGCGGTCCAGATCAAGCAACGTCAAGCAAGCGATGGGTTCTCGGAACGTCGTGATTAGCTTTGTCCGCCAATAAGTGACCCACACCCGTCCCCACCCAACAAAAAAAAAAAAGACGACCAATTCATTGGTAAAAGGTAGCCACATAACCCCAATCAATCCTCTCTCGCTTTGAGTCTTTTAATCCGTTCATTGAGGGACAGGTCGAAAGGTCAGCTGGTTGTTTTTGTGTGACTGACGGGAAGTCTGACCGGGGGATTGAGCTGGGTGAGATTTAGTGATCCCTATAATAACGATGACCTCAGCTGATTCGGATGACGGACTAACATTCTTCAACCCGAATACAACGCACGGTCATTATACATGCATTTAGACTCAAATATACCCCAAATAGAGCCATAATGACCGTAATAGGTTCTATTCGGGGGAAGAGGGTTGCCGGGATTGTTGATAGAGTGACTGACGGTCTCGCCCGTTCATTCGTTCATTCCTTTTCATTCATTCATTCATTGATTCGGCCATTTGTTCATCCGTTTTATGAACTCTTGTCCTTCGGACTTTGGATAAGGAGTCATTTGTTGTTGGTTGTAAATGATTGAATAAGGAACGCTGACCGTCGGATTTGCAGATTGCTTGATGTCGCGTGCTGATCGAATGATCGCTACGTTGATTGATTGGTTGATTGATTGGTTGATTGGTTGATTGGTTGGTTGATTGGTTGGTTGATTGGTTGGTTGGTTGATTGATTGGTCTGTCGGTTATGATGACCGACGACCAGTTGATGGCATGTTTGATTGGTCGGTGGTTGATTGGCAATTTGAGTTTCTTGATTGGTTGATTGAATTGATTGATTGATCGGTTGATTGGTTGATGGGTTGATTGGGGGAGCAATTGATTGGTGGAGCGGTTGATTGGTTGATTGGGCTGATTGGGTTGATTGGTTGATTGGTTGATTGGTTGACTGGTTGATTTGGTTGATTTCGTTGATGGGTTGATTGGTCGGTTGGGATTTCGTGAATTCATGCATTGGCTAACTGCGATTGATTGGTTCAGCCGTGGCTTGGACTTGCTGATCCTGCCGCTCATAGATTCCTATTGGTTAATTAGTGGACTTGGCTAATTGCCGTGTTTGCTGATTTTGCTGTTCTTCCAGACACATTCCGTGACTCAATGGCTAGTTGAGCGATCTATTCGATTGACTTGAGTGATCGAGCAATTCACATCCCATAACCTGCTACTGCAGTCTTAAGGATTCACTGATGACGAATTCATTGTCCAAAGGTCGCGAATAAAACCAGTTCCCTCGTCATAACTCCTAGTCAGCTCATTACCTGCACAATACAGTTTTGATGGTTCTGACATCAATCATCTCGTTGACCAGTTTCTCTTGTCCGCTGATCAGTCGACTCGTACGTTCACTGCTCACCCCAGCTTTGCCTTCCCTTACGTACTGCGCCGCTTCCTTCTCTCTCTCTCTCTCTCTCTCACACACACACACACACACACACACACACACACAGAGTTACGTATTGCGCCGCTTCCTTCCTTCCTTCTCTCTCTCTCTCTCTCTCTCTCTCTCTCTCTCTCTCTCTCTCTCTCTCTCTCTGTGTGTGTGTGTGTGTGTGTGTGTGTGTGTGTGTGTNTCTCTCTCTCTCTCTCTCTCTCTCTCTCTCTCTCTCTCTCTCTCTGTGTGTGTGTGTGTGTGTGTGTGTGTGTGTGTGTGTGTGTGTGTCTCTGTGTGTGTCTCTCTCTCTCACGCACGCTCGCGCACACACACACACACACCAAGAAACGATGTGTGGGAGTGCTTGGAGCTCGCTATTCGCTGTGTGACTGCGTGAACGCGTGAATGCGTCAAAATATCAAAGCTAGTAGTTTAACCGGTTGCGCGATCGGTCCCTACTCGATTGACTTAGAACGACTGCTCAGTGAATGCAGACGCGCACGGATTTCCGATCGCAACGTGCATTATAGTTACTACTACCACCTTCGCCCGGA